CTCTTTTAATTTCACATGTAGTCTGTCAACCACACGTTGTCTATAGGAGATCAGAAACTTGCTTTGCATGCCCCACCACCACCATTCCCCTTTGCCACCACTGATTTCTTCTTACATCATACCTGTTTTCTTCCAGTGCAGAGGAATGGGGTGCATGGTATAATACAGAGACCTCTTGAGTCTGATTGGCAAACACATATGTGCAAAAATGGAATAATAGATGCTAGTTTATATCAAAAAGATACAGAGGTTTTAATGGAGTAGGTTCAACACTTGATTTGGTCAACACATGTTCAATAGTTGTCTGCTCTAGGTCAAAAATTGTCCTAGAAAATGGGGTACAAAATTGAAGAGCTTTGTCCCTGCTCTTGAGGAGGTCACAGTCATGTTAGGAAGACAGGCTTGTATCAAATGCCTCAAGTATCTTGTGCAAACTGGAGAGAGGGGGGACGTGCAGGCACCCAGTGAGCCTGGAACAAGCCCAGGGAAATTTGTACTAAAGAAGGCATGTTTAGGTAGAGTCTTGAGGGATGAATGGGAGTTTGGAAAGCAGGCAAGGAAGAAAAGGAGAGGGACACCTGGGTGGCTCAGTGGTTGAGCACCTGCCTTTGGCTCAGGTCATGATCCTGGGATGGAATCCTGCATCAGGCTCTCCACTGGGAGCCTGCCTCTCCCTCTGCCTGTGTCTCTGCCTCTGTGTATGTGTGTCTCATGAGTAAACAAATAAAATCTTTAAAAAAAAAAAAAAGGAAGAAATGGAGAGTCTAGGAAGGGGAGCAGCCTGGATAAAAAGGCAAATGCATGAACAACATGCAGCATAATCAGAGATTTACAGGACTTTCCCTCTTCTGGGTAGAGGGAGAAGTAGACAGTGACAAGAGACAGAGTCAGGAGAGACAGGCTGGTGTGTGAGGACAGCTAAAATCAGAGGATGGCTAGGGATGAGGGTGCCAAGGGAAGGCATGTAGAATGAGGAGAAAGCTCAGCCAGAACCCTTATAAACTGCAATGTCTAAAAATTTGAAGGAGCCAGAAAGGACCATCTGCAAGGAAGAGAGGCTGGTCAAAGGGAGGGAGGGTTGCAGAGCACGTCAGCCAGGCTCAGTCAGATGCCCCAGAGAAGCAGGAAAGTTGAGACCAGGGACTGCACATCGGGTGGGGCAGCTAAGGGGCCAGACACCTTGATTACTCTGGTATAGCCTTCGCTTTTAAGTCCTGTATACCATAGAATTTTCCCCCGGACTGTTTGTTCAGAATGTTGTAGCTGAACACTTCAGCAGGAACTGTGAAGGGTCTACACACAGTAAGTGCTCAATAATTGCGGTTTCATGAGAATCCCTACTGTAATTTGCTGCTCCATTCCTGCCTACCATGGCATCTCAGTTTTATTTCCTCACTTGGCCACAGGCAGACAATCTTATTTTTATTTTTTAAAGATTTTATTTATTTATTCATGATAGACACACACACACACACACACACACAGGCAGAGACACAGGCAGAGGGAGAAGCAGGCTCCATGCAGGGAGCCCAATGCGGGACTCGATCCTGGGTCCCCAGGACCATGCCCTGGGCCCAAGGCAGGAACTAAACCGCTGAGCCACCCAGGGATTCCCTTTTAAAATTGCAAATTGGATCTTGTCACATGTCTACTTAAAAATCCTTCTGGATCAAGTCAGAGCTCATGCAGGGCCCTACTGTGCTGTGGCCTCGCAGCCATCTTCAGCCTGGTCCCATTCCTTCTGGCCTTCAGGCTCCGGCTACTCCACCTCCTGCCAGGTTTTCCCTCCACCAGACTTCTTACCACTTAGGAGGCTCCTTGCAGAGCCTGGAGCTCCCTGCTCCCATTCCCCGCTTCGCCCCCAGCCTGGCCATCCTCAGTTCTCCCCCAGCACAGCACTTCCTGTTGTCCATGCATGATCCCATTTGTAAGCAGGTGTTCCTGTAACTCTGTGGGCACTTTCATGCCCCACTTGCCCTACTGCAGGGCGAGCTCTGTGCACACAGGGGGCCCTGCCTGTCCTGCCAGTCTAAGGTCCCATCTGCATTTTCTCTTGCCACACTCTCGGCCCATCTTTAACTGCTGAACGGCTGGGCTGACCCTGTTTTCTAGCTTCTGGGTGGCTTCTTTGCCATCATTCAGGTCTGCCTGTCTTCCAAAGTTCTGCTAACACCCACCTGTTCCACGAGCCTTCCTGAATGCCTCCAGCCACTGGAGGAGCCACTGCACTGGATAGATGTGTGATGCCCTTAGTTTGGTTGGATGCACCTTTTGAAATTGCTTTCAGGGTTTAGAGATTTTAAGGTATGGCAGCCAGCCCTGGAGTGTAGCTCTTCCGTGGCTTCTGCAAGTCCCCTCACTGTGGTACACTGGGTGTAATAACAGCATCCATCCACCTCAGCCAGCTTCACGGATGTGCAGCTAGCACCATCCCACCAGGCTCCAGGCTCAGAAGGGCCCTAAGTTTGGCATACTGCTCTGCTGTCACCATTTTGAATATTTGAACCAGGACCTCACATTCTCATTTTGCACTGGGCCCTGCACATCATGCAGCCAGCCCTGCACTCATCTGTAAGGCAGCACGAGGAGCCAGAAGAGACTGTGAGTTCTGCATCCTTGGAGGCCTGGCACATGGTGGGCACCCTCTGCAGGGTCACCTGTCATCATTTTAGCTCTGCTCAACCACAACCACAGTCAATAATTCATTCTTCTGTTTGCTCGGCTTCATTGACTAAGTGCTGTGGTCAGAGGCGTTGATCAACTGTGTAAAACCCTCTGCAGCTGCTCCTTATCCTCTCAGGGTCCCAAACCTGGCCAACCTTCAGAGTCACTGCTGGAGCTTGTTAAAAATAGATTTCTGGCTGCACCCCCAGCCCACTGAACCGGACTCCCCAGGGCCGTGGCTGTGAATCTGGATTGTTAGCAAGTTCCCAGGCAGCTCTAATGCCTTCGTTTGTGCTGTGATGGGCAGAACAGAGTTAGGAACCCTTATCCTAGGGGATGAAGTCTTGCAGCATGGCCTTGTGGGTATCTTTTCCAACTGGGCCCCAGTCTGCCTTTCCAGTCTCACTTCCACATGTACCCTGACCCTGCACCAGAGTGTTGGCTTTCCCTGACTCCCCAGTGAGTCCTTTTTACTCCATTAGTACCCATGTCCTCCTCTGAGAAGGTGTCACTAGAAACCCAGGCCCTTCATTGGAACCCATGGGCTCACTCAGCACCCAGGTGTATGTCCTGTTGGATATGGTGATTTATTTCTGCACCTTGGTCCCCTATAGCCTGGAAGCTCCTTCAGGGAGCTCACCTCCACATTCTTAGCTAGCATCAGTAATGAGCAGATACTCAGATTTGCTCCACACATGTCAGAGTGTCCCTATGCTTAGGTCTGCTAGCTCTGCTATAGCCCTGAGTACTACCAGTGCTCGGCAAAGCTCCCTGCCCCTGGCTGGTTGAGCCAGGCTGTTCTGTGGCACAGATGTTTGTTTTTGCTGCTCACCCTGCAGCATGGGAAACCATGTGCCTTTACAGTCTCTGGTGCTCATCTTGTCTCCGAGAGGCTTCTGCTCACTCCTGGCTCTGTGGGACCAGAGCTTGCCTAAAAAACCTTCCCTCCCAGGAGCCTGTATGTACAAGAGTCATTCCTAGAGTTCATGTATTGGCTGTATGTAAAACAACATGTACAATATAAAACTTTCTTTATATAATAAATGCTCCCTTCCTCGGACCTTTCCCTTCTGGAAATGACTGAGTGTGGCCAAAACTCAGGCTACCAAACTAGTTCAAGCCAATCCTCAGTCCCACCAGTGCGAGGCTTTATTGTTTGTCGCCCAGACCTGTTTTTTTTTTTTTTTTTTTTTTTTTTTTTTTTTAAGATACTAGGTTTAGGGGATCCCTGGGTGGCGCAGTGGTTTAGCGCCTGCCTTTGGTCCAGGGCGCGACCCTGGAGACCCAGGATCGAATCCCACATCGGGCTCCCGGTGCGTGGAGCCTGCTTCTCCCTCTGCCTGTGTCTCTGCCCCTCTCTCTCTCTCTCTCTGTGACTATCATAAATTAATTAATTAATTAATTAATTAATTAAAAATACTAATTTTTTTTAAGATTTTATTTATTCATGAGAGTACAGAGAAAGAGAGACAGGCAGAGGGAGAAACGCTCCATGCAGGAAGCCCGACGTGGGACTAGATCCCAGGTCTCCAGGATCATGCCCTGGGCTGAAGGCGGCACTAAACCGCTGAGCCACCTGGGCTGCCCGAGACCTGTTGGGTTTGAAATCTGTTCCCTTTCATTTTCATCTTTTTTGCATTTGCTAATGGCAGCTGATGACCACACCAAATGTATTCTTTACTTTGACTGAATACCCACTCATGCTCTGTGGGTGCCTCAAGCTTTCATGGCCAACACCTGCACCATAAAAGGCAGTGCTGGATCAGTCCAAGGTGATTTCCTGAGCACCTACTGTGTGCTCCTGCCGGAGGGCGAACATACACACATAGCAGTACGGAAAAGCCTGCCATTCTGAGTCTCAGCAGCAGTGGTTTTCCTAGACTTGCATGGTAACAATAACATTCATTCGCAAAGTACTTCTCACGCCTCCTCCTCAGTGGCCCTGCAGGACAGGAATGAGAGCCATTGGATGGATAATGAAAGCAAGACATCAGAACACACCAGGGCTCCTGTTCCGAGCCCAAGTGTTCTGCTCCTGTTGGTGTGTTTTGCCCAGTGGGCAGAAATCTAGACGAGGTCGCCAGGCTCCTTCAAGCACCTGGCACATGCCATAGGCTTGGGAAGCCTTTTCCTCCACTTGGATGTTCTTGGAATTGAAAAAGGCAGCTGCTGATGTCTGGAAACTTCTGAATTCCCTGGGGGGATTCGAACTGTTGGGGTGGGGCGGACCACCTCCTGCTCTGTGCTGCTGTGGGCTGTTGGTGGCACGGGTGCTTTCTGAGCCTTTGGGGAGTGCTCTGTGCGCCCTGTAACTTCCTTTCTCCTCTCTTTCTTAGGCACATCTCACTAACGCTCCCTGCTACCTTCCGAGGCAGAAACAGCACTCGGGCTGACTATGAGTACCAGCACTCCAATCTGTATGCCATATCAGGTATGTGGGGCCTCTGCTAACGGCCAGCTACTGTGTTTATGTCTCGGGCACCACCTCCCTCTGCCTGTCTCCTGGCATTGAGTGACATCTCTCTTACTTCTCTTTTTCACCCTGCAAGGGGCCTGTTTCCTGTGGAGATCAACCCTTTCCTTTCCCTTGTGTCACCTCAGCACTTAACAAAGGGCCAGATACTCTGTGTTTTGAAACTGATGATGAAAAACAGTGTGTGGATTTCACAAGCTTTCACAAGCTTGAATAGCCGCTGCATCGTTCACTTGCCAGAGCCAGGGAAGGTTTCCCAAAGGATCTTGGGAGCAGCACAGAGCTGAGGCCCAGTCTGCCCACCCAACCTGTGTCCAGGTCTGTCCTTACCACTCATTTCCCAAAGCGAGGTTTGCAGCCAGCAGGGATGGTGGTGGTCTCCCCTTCTGACCCCCATCATAGGGGTTTGTGATTTCTGAACTCAGCCTTGAAATTAATGGCGTTACCTTGGCAGGGACCTCAGCAGTACAAGTTTGCCCTCCCACCTTCACCCAGGGAGGGAAACACCTATGGGCCCAATTACAGGGGGGAGATTCATTAGGTGCCTGGCAGCACAGGTGACCTGCTAAGAGCCAAGAAAACCCACCAGCTCACCTCTGATTATCCTTGGCCTCTAATCAGGGGCATTCGTATCTAAGGGGGAAGTGGCAAATCGGTGCCACTTACCAGTGCACATCCTTAATGGTGACTGACGTTTTGAACACGGGAACATGGCATTCGTTCATGTACCATAATGAATCCCGTTATTTAAAAGATAATCTTTTTTCTAAAAATTGCAACTTGGGGTTACTAAATAGATGAAATAGAACAATGGTATAATTCATGTCAGTATCAGTTTCTCTTGTTATGATCACTCCCTAATAGGTTTGGAAGTATAAGCAAAAGCCAGTTGTTCCCTTTCTGGGTGGGGAAAAGGAAGACCTGGGATGTTCTCAAAGAACTTGGTACCCAGCCCCGCTCCAGGAGCATGTTGTCTCAGAAAAGCACCTCTAGGGAGAATTTCTTCTGTGCTGTGGCTATTTCAGCAAAGTTGACAAGGAGCATAACAAGTGTGGAAAGATGACCTAGAAAAGCTGAATATTTCCCCAGATGCTTTGTGGCATAGTGGTACAAAACAGGTCTGTGAAATCCAGCAGGGCAACCCTGTTCCGAATGCACATAAGGAAAGCTCAATCAAAACAGATGATTTTTTCCCTCCAGCTTGCAAATTCTTTTCCAGCCACAGTGTTCAGCTATCCCCGCCTTACCTGGGTTCTCTGATGGCTTTCCCAGCTGTTGGCATTTCTGCAGAAAAGGGCCTACAGAGTGAAATCTCCTCTGGTTTGGCAGGAATGTTCCTGTCTGCCTCTGGACCATGGCCTCTTCGCCCCGCAGCTTTGATGAGGTGTTGTCTGCATTCATTTCAGCTGTTAGTTTAGCAATACCAGGGTAACAGCCTCAAGACACAGGGGAAGCCATTCAGAAACTTCCTGTTACATTTATGTAAGTGGCAGTCAGTTGGATTTTTATCTTCCAAGCAGAAGTAGTTGAGGCTGCCTCACATCAGCAGGCAGCCCCTGGCTCCTCAGCGGCTGTAGGCACCAAATTGCTCCACCAGGGCTCGAGACTGCTTTGTTGTCATGCTGCCAGAAAGAACCCGCAGGACCTGCCGGCTCCATAAGGCTGCAAGCTCAGCACTGGGCAATCCTGGTATAGCTGGGAAGCCTGCCCACCCACCCACCGGCTGCCTGCCTTCGAGCCGTTCTGCTCGAAGAGAACAGAGACCACCTCTCCCCCACCCCCCACCCCCAAGCAGTATTTGGCATTGAGTGGCACGTCTCAGTTTGGTACTGCAAAGTTAAGGTTTCAGTGGTTTATTCCAAAAGCAGTCAAGGCAAAAGTGTGCCCCAGGCCCTAGCCCTTGCCCAGTGCCTGATGCGTGGTAGCTGGAGCTCTGCTGGTATTAAATTGAATCATCAAACTGTTCTCCTTATGAACCAGCTCTGGCACACATTTGCCACAGGCTTCAGGGGCTAAGCCTTTGGTACATGCTCCCAGTACACTCTGGATCATTCCTGAAAACATTTATTTAGGGCTCCCTTCATTTGCAGGCCCTTCCTAAGATAAGTAGATTTCCAAACTGTCATTTTGGAAAGCGAGCAGCCCACATTTAACTTGTATGTGTGGTTATTTAAATATTTATATTTCAGTGCTTTCTCAAAGGCATACTTGTTAATCTGGTCCTTCTCCTATATCTTCCACTGAGACTGTTCACATCTGTCAGGCCTACAGAAGGAGGGACAGTGCTCAGAGGTGCTGGATTAAGGGGAGGAGACATGACAGAGTTCAGGCCCTAGCACGCAGAGGTGCTCGTGAACTGTTGACGGGAAGGAAAAGAGTCTTTAGCTCAGTGTCTGCCCTGCCCAGGAATACCCTCCCTGACCTCTGGGGCAGGTGATCATCCTGATGTGCTGTTGCTTGCATGCCTTCAGTGTCTGGGACCATCACCTCCGACCAGCCTGTTCCATCTCTGCAAGGCCCTCTCTGGTTCAGCTGGGCTCTTTCTGCATGTTCGTATCCATCCAGCCATTTTGGGTATAGATGCGTTCCATCAGCCAAAATGTGCCATCCGTTGGGCCAACAGTTCTCTGTTGCCCACAGAAGTGGTGTGAGGGGCTTCTGCTAACTCAGTGCTCAAATCCAGAGAAGCTCATGTCCCTTGCTGTGCCACCTTGTACCCTCATCAAAGCCTGCCTTTGATCCTCACACTTCCACCAGTAAAAATTCCTTCTGAAAAATACTTAGAGGGGTACGAAACGGTTTATCCACAGGATGAGCACTGTTCCTTCTTAAAAATAATACTTAGAAAAAAGGGTTAAGGGATGGAACTCTTTTTTTTTTTTAAGATTTTATTTATTCATGAGAGATATTCAGAGACGGAGGCAGAAACAGAGGCAGAGGGAAAAGCAGGCTCCATGCAGGGAGCCTGATGTGGGACTCCATTCCAGGACTCCAGATCACTCCCTGAGCCAAAGGCAGATGCCTAATCACTGAGCCACCCAGGCGTCCTGGGTATGGAACACTTAAATGTCCAAAACAAAAGCAAAGGGTTAAATTATGAAATGTCCTTCTAATGGCCTTAACTCTTCGGGCATCAGAAAATGATGATTTGGTTAAAAAAGTGTGGGTGAATGTTAGTAAGTGACAACCAGAATGTGCAATGTGATCGCATTTTTAAAAATATCCAGGAATGCCTGGGCAGCTCAGTTGGTTGAACATCTGACTCTTGATTTCCATTCAGGTCATGATCTCAGGGTTGTGGGATTGAGCCCCATGTCAGGCTCTGTTTTCAGCATGAAGTCTGCTTGAGATACTCTCTCCCTCTGCCCCTCTCCTACTTGCACATGGTCTCTCTCTCTCTCTAAAAAAAAAAAAAAAAAAAAAAAAATCCAAACATCTGGAAATGTACCCACCCAAAGTGTTTACAGTGGTTTTCACCAGCCTTTCCTGCTCTTTTCTTCTTTTTTCCTTCTTTGCAGTTTCTCATTTCTCTTTGTTGGCAAGTGTTACTTTTATAATAAGAAAAAGTTTGGGGGCACCTGGGTGGTGCAGTCGTAAGTGGCTGACTTTTGATTTCGGCTCAGGTCATGATCTCAGGGTCCTGGGATCAAGCCCCACAGCAGGCTCCCCTCTCAGTGCAGAGTCTACTCCTGGACTCTCTCTCTCCCTCTGCCCCTCCCCCTCCTCACATGCTTTCTCTCAAATAAATCTTAAAAAAAAAGAAAGAAAGAAAGAAAGAAAGAAAGTTTAGACCCTGAGTCCATTTGGCATGCTCTCTTGGCAAGCCCTGCTGGGCCCCATGATCACCTTGTCTTTTCTGTGTGCTCCCAAGCCCCCTGACTCAGTAGGTTTCTGAATTCTGCTAAAAGTCACTTCCAGGCCACAGATCAATAATTTTCTTATGGTCCCTTTTTGAGAAGATAGGTTTGTTTTTTTTTCCCCTCTTGTCCAGTTGCTAGAACCTCCTGTCCATTGATGTCCCCCAAAGACCACTGACCGCCAGCCTAACACCATCTGGCCTGTTCTGCCAGTGTTAGAGACACAGATTGTGACAGCCCAGCTGCTTGGGCCGTCTCCTCACCTGTCTTGTTCCCCAAACCCCACATCACCCTGTCGCTCTACTTGTTGGGGCTTGAGGACTGTTTTCCTTGAAAGAGGAGATAGAAATCAAGTGATGGGTGCCTGGTTTGGCTCACTCTGGTATCTATGTATGTTAGAGTTGGCAAACCACTTTTTTTAAGTTTAATTCTTACATTTGACAAATGGCAGCTTACGGGCTCATACTTTCCCAGCAACATTCTAACGAGTGTGTCCCTCTTAAGACCTTACCTCCTGGGAGGTCTTTCCTCGGGGCCTAGTTGATTTTCTAGATTCTACCCCAAAGCCCTATTCCTCAGTGTCCTTGTCAGGCCTCTTGGGGGCTATTAGTTTTCTTTTTTAAGAATATCTTCTCTCTTCTTGGGGTGCCTGGGTGGCCCAGTCAGTTAAGCAGCCAACTCTTAATTTTGGCTCAGGGTCATGGGATCGAGTCCTGTCTCTCCTTCTGCCATCCACCCCATAAATAAAATAAATCTTTAAAAAAGAGGGGAAAAAAACCATATCTTCTCTGTCCTGGAAAGTCTTCTGCTTTAGTCCTGAATGATAGTCTCCTACGCTTTTCCTTCCTTTAAAATTATTTTAGGGATCCCTGGGTGGCGCTGCAGTTTGGCGCCTGCCTTTGGCCCAGGGCGCGATCCTGGAGACCCGGGATTGAATCCCATGTCGGGCTCCCGGTGCATGGAGCCTGTTTCTCCCTCTGCCTGTGTCTCTGCCTCTCTCTCTCTATCTGTGTGACTATCATAAAAATAAATAAATAAATAAATAAATAAATAAATAAATAAATAAATAAATAATAAATAAAATAAAATAAAATAAAATAG